TGTGATTTCTAAATTTTTTTAAAAAAATATTTTTATCGTTAGGTGTGCTACATGACAAATGACTTATAATAGTTGACTACCACATGACACATCTAATGAAATTATCAATTACGTGCAGTCACGTGATGAATGCAATAATATAATAACTTGTGTAAATGCCCTGCTTCATGGGATCAATATTTATATGACAACAATTAATTAGAGTAATATTATATTAAATAAAATATAATGATCATAATTAGCACTTGAAATTTAAATATACTATTTTTATAATTTGTATTTCTTCTATTTTTATTAACTCTTTATTATCTGCTTATTCTAGATTTTTTAGAAATTTTAAATATGAAATTTGCAACAATAAAAAAAGTTCAAAACTTTTTTATTGCTTCTTAATAATGAAAGTGTTACTTATTAAAAAAAATCAAATCTTTGCAATTTTTATTGATGTTATGAGTTTTTTTTTTTTTTTAAAGTATTTTTTTATAGAAATTTTTTTAATATTTAATGTGTCAATATTAATCACTAAACGACCAATGATGTTCTAAAATCTTCATGGATTCATTGGGTAAAATAATAAATTTATATTATTGACAGGTTATATAAGTATAGATTACGCGCTTTCTTCTCATTTTCTAGAATCTTTTTTTATTTAATTTTTATCTTATCTTAAGCAAAACAGACCATTTTGCTTTTATGCGAAACAAAAAAAGTCAAGTGTCCATTGTAGATCTTATTAGAAGACTATTTTTATTTACATATATATAGATTTTATATTAAAATTTAAATGACACATTCATTTGCGATAATGTGATGGATTATTTTCAATCTGAAAGCTTTTTTAATTGGATGAATTTAAAAATTAAATGAAATGCAAAAATAAAAAACAAAAAGAACAAAAATGGCGGGCTTTGATGATAAAATGTTTGTTTTTTTTTCATGAAAGTTGAAGGACACAGGGACAACATTTTGAGACGTGTGGGATCCAACTTTGAATTTTATCATGTTGCCTAACGTTATTAGCGAACAATGACCTGTGTGCCTAATTATTTCACAAACTTATATAAGTGAAAATATTTAATATTTGTTAAATGCAGAAAGGACAAGTAGTACCAAGATTTTTTTTATGACGACCTTAGATTTTACATCACATGTAATTATCCAAATGGGCAGCTGCCAACTGCAGCATCCAATGCTCCGCATATATATAATGACAAAGGAAAAAACAAAGTGTATATATACTTTATTTTTTCCTTTGTCATTCAGATGATAATATCGGATTCATTTGATTATTTTGGTTAATATATAATATTACAAATTTTTTAAAATTTTATTTATATTTGAATTTAATTTTTTAAAAATTAAATTGATTATAATCAAAATTTATAGATTCGTTCATTAGTTTTTGTAAATTAAATTTTTATTTATATATTATTTTAAAATATTTAAATAAATTTAAATATAAAATAATGATTTTATTTTATAAAAATTTATAATTTATAATTCGATTAGAATATTTTTAAATTTTTAATTTTTTTCAAAAACGTAATTAAATAAAACTAAAACATAAATTATCTAAATTTAAATAAATTAAATAAAAAAAATTAATCTGAAACCATTCGAACAGTACATTTTTTCCTCACCCCTTGTCACTTTATAATCTCTCTCTTTGCTTTTTTTTTTTTTTTTCCAACTCACAGGGCTTGAAATTTACTGATAATTTGTGGTTTCAAATTATGGGTCAGAGTCAAACGAGAAACAATCAAACAAACAATAAAAAACTAGAATGGTGTACGGTTTTGCATGAGATTATTTAAAAAATTATAAAATTAAATTAAATAATTTAATAAATAACAATAATAATTAGTAAAAAATAATAGTATTAATAATAATAAAAAATATTACATTAAAATATTATCTTTTAAAAATAATATAAACATTACATTAATACCCTTAGTGTCTTGGATAAAAGTGGCGCACTAGCCAACCCATATCTCAGCTGAGCTAACATCCAAAGCTTACCTTGGTAACGTATGGGCCACACCATTCCGAGCTTCGTTGACGAATTTTAAAAAAATTCTTAAAAATTTTGAAAAATTCAAAAAACTGAAATATACTAAAAAAATAAAAAAATTTGTAAAAATAAAAAAGCTTAAAATTTTAATAAAAATAAAAAAATTCATAAAATATATAAAAAATAAAATTGTAACATTCAAAAACAAATGAAAATTTTTCATAATTAAATTTTTTTACAATTTTTATGTATTTTTAAAAATTCTACATTTTATTATTTTCAAATTTTTAAGTTTTTGTGATTTTTTTAATTTTAGGAAAATTTATTTTTATTATAATTTTCATTTTTTAGATTTTTTATTAAATATTTGAGATTGTTTGAAAATTTTAAGTTTTGTATATTTTTAAAAATTTTAGTTTTTTAGTTTTTTTAATTTTTAAAAATATTTTAGAAATTTAATTTTAAAAAAAAATTATAATTTTTTAAAATTTTTTTAAAAATTTCTTTTAATACTAACGTGATAATTGATAATATAAAATTAATTAAACATGTTGATATGTGTCAATATCTTTTTAAATATTTATGTTATATCAATAAATTGATTGACAATATTAATCTTATCCAATAAAATGGACAACAAAATAAAAATTAAAGTAAAAAACTAAAAATTTTATTTATTTAAGCATTAAATTATAAAATATATATAATATATGAGCTATTTTTATATTTATCCTTTTCAATTAGTATCAGAGAAAGTTCTCTGTTCTTGAGCTAAAGTTTATTATTTTTAATAATTTAAAAATTTTTATTAATCTTAATTTTTTATATTACTTTAATAAAAAATATGCAAACATTTATTGATTTATTATATATAATCATACATTCATATATGTTAAGGTACAACTAAATAAAAGTTTATATATATATATATTGTAATAGTTTTTCAAAGTAAAAACTTTTGTAAAATTTCAAAGAATTGTAAAATTTTTTCTTTTTCATAAAAATTATTTTTTTAATTTATTTACTAAACAATGAAAATTTTACTACTCATTTTTGCTTGTTCGGTCAAAAAAGCAAAGTTCAATTTTAAATAATAAAGATTTTTATTATTGGTTTATTTTTTTTTTGTGTTAAAAATGTTGTTATCTACGCTTTTGGGTTCCTCACGCAATGTTAATACAATTTCTTTAAGGTTTACATTCTTTCTATGCTTTATTGTACTCTTAATTGTGATTGGATATTTAGAATCATTTCATTACTTTTAATAAAATTTTACTTTGGCTTATTAAAAAGAAAATAGTCAAAATTAATAATTGTTTATATGTTTATATTAATATATAAAAAATATATCATTTGATTAAATTGTAAAAGACATGTATATTGGCAAAATATTCTTAAATTATTAAATCTTATAAAGCTAAACAAAAAATAAAACATCAAATAATAATAAAAATAATAATAATGATTGAACTACAAAACATAATTATTAATTTGCTCATAACCATTATCTTTTTATTGGTCCCTTTTTTTTTTTTTTACATATATACTTTAACATACATAGTTATTTTTTTTATTAGAACATAAACCAAATGTACAAATTGAGAATTATAAATAATTCAGATTTCTTGTATTTATGCATAGCAAATGTTCAATTTAACAAATATATATATATATGTATAAACATATGAACCAATTTGTTTTAGAATAAATCAAATTTAGATGCATATATCATATAATGCAAATAAAACCAAATAATGAGTTTGAAGCAACAAAGAAAGAGAGGAAATTAAAAAAAAAAAAAGAAATATAATATTCTCCCTTTCAAATTTTTCATTTTCCATCCAATAACTTATTTATCTAAATTTTTATTCAATATATTTTTTTAATAAAAGAAAGTTTGAGTTTTAATATGAAGATTTATTTTTTATTAAATAAGATCACAAAATAGTTTCCATAGCTATTGAGGCAACCAACAGCGGTGTTGGATTTAAACTAAAACCAAAGATTGATGTTGTTTCATTCGGAGGGTAGGCACTTGGAGGTCATGTGATTTTTTTAATTTTTTAAAAAATATTTTTACTACTAAGTGTGCTACATGACAAATAACATATAACAATTGACTACAATTGGCACATCTAATAAAATTATCAATCACGTGCGGTCACGTGTTAAATACAATAATATAATAACTAGTGTAAATGTCTTGTTTTCTGGGATCTATATTTATATAACAATAATTAATTACAGTAATACAATATAAATAAAATATAATGATTATAATTAACACTTGAAATTTAAATATATTATTTTTATAATTTGTATTTATTATATTTTTTATTATCTCTTTATTATCTATTTATTCTAGATTTTTTAAAATATTTTAAATATGAAATTTGTTGCATTAAAAAAAAGTTCAAAAATTTTTTTACTGCTTATGAAAGTTCAGGATAAACGGCGGCATTTTGAGACGCAAGGAATCCAACTTTGAATTTGCGCCTAACATAATTATTGAACAATGACGTGTCTGGTCATCAGCTGCTTGCTTAGTGACTAAACGAACTTTAAGAAGACGTAAGATTGAGGTTTGATCTCAATCTCTCTCTTTCTCGGGCTTTACCTCTTGAAACAGAAAAAAAAAAATAATGACGTGTCTGACTAATTATTTCACAAAACTTATGTAAATGAAAATATTTGTTAAATGCAGGAAAGGACAAGTAAATACCAAGATTTTGATGACCTTAGCTTTTACATCACATGTAATCCACATGGCCAACTGGCAACCACCAGACTCCAATGTCGGTATATAAATTATTTTTTTTACTTTGTTTTTTCCTTTTATCGTTAGTATGATAATATCTGGTTTCGATTTAATTAATATATAGTATTATAGATTTTTAAAATTTTAATTTTAATTTGAATTAATTTTTTTTAAAATTTAATTTTATGGATTTTTATAAATTAACTATTTTTTATTTTTATTTTGTACATTATTTTAAATATTTAACCCCAATTATTATTATAGAGCTGGCTCGAGCCAGCAACTGGCAGAAAGCTCTCTGTTCTTGAGCTAAAGTAAATCAAGCGCAGCAAGCAAGAAGCCATGGATAAGTCTCTTCCTCTCCATCTCTGCCATGTCAACAACTTCTCCATAATCATCAATAGGTCATATGCAATCCTCCACTCGATAGCTATCGCTTTCTTGATATACTACAGGGTTTCTTTCCTTTCCCAGGAAACCAAAAACAGAACCATACCCACACTTCCATGGCTTCTAATCTTTACCTCCGAGTTGCTGCTCTCTTTAGCCTGGCTCCTAAAACAGGCTTATCGTTGGCGTCCTGTTTCTCGGACTGTGTTTCCAGAAAGGTTGCCAGGCGATGATAAACTCCCAGCCATTGATGTGTTTATTTGCACTGCGGATCCAAACAAGGAGCCGACTGTGGAGGTCATGAACACTGTGATATCAGCTATGGCGCTAGATTATCCACCGGAAAAGCTTCATGTTTATCTTTCTGACGATGGTGGTTCCGATGTAACTTTGCTTGGGGCGAAGGAGGCTTGGAACTTTGCAAGGTCGTGGCTTCCATTTTGTAGGAGATATAGTATCAAGACAAGCTGCCCTGAGGCTTATTTTTCAGGACCCAAAGATGACCATGGTGACTTCCAGTGTTCTGAGTTCAAGGCAGAGTGGCAAAAGATTGAGGTAATTAACTTGATGAAAATACAAAAAATCCCCCTGCTCTATGGAAATGACATTAACCATTTTTGTTATTTGAAATCCTCATCCCGTTAATTTGTTTTAATGTATTTAAATATTAAAAATTTAAAAATATTTGTTTTTGAAGAATCTAAAATTTTAAATTTACTAATTTTATTCCTTATTATACAAGAATTAGTCAAACAATTAGTATTATGTCATATACATAAATCATATTTTTCCATGTTCTCTCTCTAGTATTTTTAATCAAACTTTTCTTTTTTGGATTGAACTCATATTTTAGTTACCTCTTAATTTTTAATTTGGTTCAACTATTAAAAATTAAAAATTTAATCTAATTAAAACTTAAATACTTTCGTAATAAAAGAAAAAAAATCTCCTTTTAGTAATTGAAAATAAGTTTATATTAAATATATTATTAGTATATAAATTTTATAAATTGTTAATAAATAAACATAAAGTTTTATAAATCCTTAAAATAAAAACACAAGAATTTTTTTTAAAAATATTCATTAATAAAGTGACATAAATTATATAAAATTCATACTAACAATAAATCAAATATAAATAAAAAAAATTCTTATGAAAAAAATAGAAAATCTACGTTTTTTTTTCTCAGATTAAAGGAGAAAAATAAGGAAACCAAATAAAGAGTTTGGATTCAGTGCGACGGCATGACTGTGCTGGATCCATGGTTTAAAACCCATGATGAAGTCCGAAGTCTTTTACTTTCCTCGAGACTATGCTAAGCCATACTCTCTTTCCTTTAAGGCAATGCTAATGTCATGGTCGTGAAGTGAAGCTAAAAATTTCTTATCAATTATGTACTAAAATTAATCATAAGATCTAAAGGTTTACATATTTTTCTTTTTATAAGGTATCTTTTGTAAGATCAAACTATAAGATCAAGAAGATCAAAGCGAATAATATCTTATAAAGGTGTGAATTGTAGCATGTAGATTAATCTGAAACATCATATGAGTGTATGTCTGGGTACTGGAGTCGCACGAGCTTAGAGCTTAAATCTCAATACGTGACAAGTGATATCAAAGTCAGCTCTGAAGATAATAACGATGTGCCATCGAGGACGGTAGCTTTCGTTGGAGTAAGGGAAAATGTTATGGTTCTGAAGTGAAGTAAGGAATCCCACATTAGCTGTAGACTAGAGTTAGCAATAGAATATAAGGGTTCACACATTAGTATCAAAGTCAGCTCTAATGATACTAGTGATGTGCCACCAAGGACGGTGGGCTTTCATTAGAGTGAATGAGGATGTCATGGTCCTAAAGTGAAACTAGAAATCCCACATCGACTGTGGAGTAGAGTTAGCAATAGGATATAAAGGTTCACAAATTAATATCAGAGCCAACTTTGAGGATACTAGTGATGTGTCACCGATGATGGTGGGACTCCATTGGAGTGAGGAAGGATGTTATGATCCTAAAGTGAAGCCAAAAATCTGGACTAGAGTTAGCAATAGGATATAAGGGTTCACACATTTTCTTCCTTGTGAGGTGCTTTTTATAGGACAAAATCGTGAGACCAAGAGGACCAGAGTGAACAATACCTCACAAGAGTGTAAATCGTGATAGATAAGCTAATCTGAAACGTCGGATGAGTGCATGTTCAAATCTTGAAGCCGCATGAGCTTGAAACTTAAGTCTCCGTTCTACTAACACCATTCTTAAATAGTGAAGATGTAATTAAACTTCAAAAGATTAATTAAAAGATGACATTAATAATGTCCAACAATAATAGTATAAACACAAAAGTTTTATACTAACAAAAAGTAAGAAGTCGAACAATTTACATTGTAATTATTACCTTAGTATTGAAGTCTAAATCCAAAAGTATATGAGATGATAAATGTCATGTTTACATTGTAATTATTACCTTTGACTAGAACGTTTCAATTTGGGCCGATGTCATGTTTCACATATAGTTAAACATAATAAATAATAAATGTGAATTTTCCTTTTCAGGAGAAATATGAGATGTTCAAGGAACGGGTAAAGAGAGTTCGAGAAGAACATTGTAATGTAGCGGAAGCAGCTGCTGCCACTACCAAAAGTCGTGATCACCCAGCTGTTATTGAGGTATCTACACACCCACAGGTGTCTTTATTTTAATTAGTTATCGACTCCATGCTATACATGTTTTCTTTTACAAATTCAAAGGATTCACGTAACCAATTTATTAACGATTAAATTTAATTTGATTAGTTTTTGAATTAATTAAATAATTATTCAAATTTATTATTCAAATTTAAAATTTAAATTTAAAATTTATTATTTGTAAGAAATTAAATAAATTATTCAACAAAATATTTAAATTCAAAAGTATTAAATTAAATTCTAAAAATTTATAAAATGAAATGATTCATTTCATATATTTTAATTTTATATTTGGATATTAAGAAAGAATTAATTAAAAATAAAAAATTTTCACAATTATTTTTAATAATCAACACAAATTAATCGATGATTGATCATTAATCAAATTAAATTGATTTGATATATTAATTTAATTAAAACCAAAATGTGAAGAGAGTTCATATTTATATGTATATAATGAAAATAATATTATTCACATTACTTTTTATACCAAATATTCCTCCATATTTTTGTAATCAATGCGTTGTTTTTTTTTTTTTTTTTAATTTGTTGAGAATAAAGCATATTAAATGAAAAAACTATTTTTTTAAAATAAAATTTTAAAACTTTAATTGCTCATGACTATAAGCTCATTAAAACCCACTTATTAATAAGTTTTTACACATACATTTTAAAACTTTAATTGGTCATGTCTATAAACTTTAATTGGATACCAATTATTTTTTCTCACATTTCTTTTATTTGAAAAAAAAAAGAAAAGAAATTCAAACTTTATATTATATGTTTGTAGGTTATTCAAGACTATTCCAATGAGGAATTGCAAGAAGATAAAGTTAAAATGCCTCTCCTTGTTTATGTTTCTCGTGAGAAAAGGCCTTCTCATCATCATAATTTCAAGGCTGGAGCCCTCAACGTCCTTGTATGGCACTTGTCTCTTGTTAATGTTTTGTACATTTGTATTTTCTGCTAACAAATGGAGTTGTATTACTGCCATTGGCATGCAGCTTAGGGTTTCGGCGATGATGAGCAATTCCCCTTATATTCTGGTGCTTGATTGTGACATGTACTGCAATGACCCAACTTCAGCTAGGCAAGCGATGTGTTATCATTTTGATCCTGAGATGTCTCCTTCACTAGCATTTGTACAATTCCCTCAAACATTTCGGAACATTAGTGAAGACGATATCTACGACAGCCAAATTCGATTTGTATTCAAGGTAGATAACTGAAATCTTCTACAGGGTCAATTTGGTATTAGCGATTTCATAAAAAATATTTAACAAATATAAGATTTACATTTCATTATTTATAATATTTCATTATTTATAAACTTTTATCATTGTCCTGGATTACAACGTCTTTTATATATATATATATATATATATATATATCGACTGTTGATACTGAACTTTTATTTTATTTTTTTTCCTCGACTTTAGATACACTGGCACGGTTTAGATGGGCTAAGAGGACCAGTTTTGTCCGGTACAAACTTTTATATAAAGAGGGAGGCATTATTGGGCAGTTTTAGTACGCAAGAAGGTTAGTTCATTTGTTGGTACTGAACTAGTTGTAGCATTGATTATCCAATTATAAAATTTGCACTCCTTAATTTCGGGATTTTTTTTTTAATTTTAATCTGCCATTAAATTCTCTATTCAATCCTTCAATTCTTGAAACCCCGTAAGTTTATATTTTTTTACTATAATTTATTGATAAAATGTTTAATTCCTAATTGCAATGATAAAATTTCAAATCATGATATATTCAAGTAGTAAGATGAATCCTTTATATCAAGAGTTCTATACAAGAAATTAATTTAATTTCAAGATATTTAGATTTGATTTGCTTAATGTTGAAACTCTATTCATTTTCATTTGATTGATCTTTTCAAAAAAATTTTTTTTTTTCAAATTTTGCTTAAAAAAAGGAAATAATCAAAGGATCAATCATAAGGAATCTTAATTTCAAGCTGAAATCAAAATCCAAAAGAGATTTCTTGGAATCTAATTAACTGGAAAATAATTAATGTTTTAGTATGTGGGAAATAACAGGTACAGACCTTAGAGCACTTAAGAGATCGTTTGGTCCATCCAACGAGTTCATTAAAGCCCTTGGTCAAGATTACAAGCCTACTTTCATCCATGATGGGGAATCGTCAAGCATGTTGCTGGAAGAGGCCAAAGTTTTAGCCTCTTGCTCCTACGAAAGTCAGACAACATGGGGTACAAAGGCAAGTACATCAACAACAACAAATAAAAAATAATAAAATTAATATTGTTTCAGATTCTCATAGGTATAATTAACGTCGATCGATTTCGTATCTGCAGGTGGGTTTTATGTATTTTTGTGTTTTGGAAGATTACTTCACAGGATTTGTTTTACACCGCAAGGGCTGGAAATCTGTCTATCTTAGTCCGCCAAGGCCACAATTCTTGGGAACTTCTACCACAAATTTCAATGACCTATTGATTCAGTGGACTAGATGGTCATCTGGATTGGTTGAAGTTGCTATCTCTAGGTTTTGCCCTCCCATTTATGCACCTCTAAGGATGTCTTTGCTTCAGACCATGTGCTATGCAGAGCTTGCATTTTTGCCTCTTCTTGCTTGCCTGCCTCTTTGGGGCTTTGCTCTTATCCCTCAACTCTGTCTATTGAACGGCATTCCTTTGTATCCAGAGGTAAAGTGAGAAAAACTGAAAGGGTATTTAATTTTTTTTAAATGATAAGTAACTCTTTTCTTGCTTGTTTTGAGATTAAAATCAAATTTTTACCTATACCAAGACTTAACATTAAGTTTTATAAAAATAAATAAAATTTGTTATTATACTTTAATTTCATTTAATTTTGTCATTAAACATTTAATTTTATTGATTTTTGGACAGACAACAAAGAATTAGAATAATATTTCATAAAATATAATTATTCTGTTAACGAATGCTCCGAATTTCTATAAATTTGTTATTATTTTTTTTTCGTCCACAAACAGAAAAAATAAATCAAAATTCAATATTGATCAATAGTATAACGGTAAATTTAACTTTAATCTCATTTGTTTTCAATTAGTATTAATCTTTACCCTTCGTCTCACAGGTTTCTGATCCGAATTTCAGCATATTTTTGTTCATTTCCGTATCTTCTCTTTCAAAAAGTTTATACGAGGTTCTCATTACCGGTGGACAAATTCGGACATGGAAAAATGAATGGAGGATATGGATGATAAAAGCAGTTACAAGTTTTTCCTATGGAAGCTTGGATGGTATTTTGCAAAAGCTTGGCATGAGGGCAGCTAGTTTCTTGCCTACCAATAAAGTTACCGATTATGAACAATTTAAGCTATATGAGATGGGTGTATTTGATTTCCGGGCGGCAACCATGTTTCTTGCGCCATTGGTTACAATAATTCAAGTGAACATTGCATCAATTGTTGGAGGTGTTGTTAGAATTATGGTTATGGAGGATAATGAAGATCAGTGGAAAAATATGATTGGACAAATCTTTCTCTCATTTTACATATTAATCACGAATTATGCTGTCATTGAAGGGATGATAATCAGAAAGGACAAGGCCAGTATTCCATTATCTGTTACTTTGTTGTCTGCTGTATTTTCAGTGATTATCTTGTCACTCGGATCTTCCATTCTGTGTTAAAATTATGGCATTATTAGGAAGAAAACTGCATTGCTGCTTTCTGTAAGTTCAATTATTGAAGGGATGATGTTGTTCTTCTTCATCACTCAATTTATATATTGTTGTAGTTTCAGTACTGATGTTTTTGTCAACTGACCCTTGTTGAGAATTTAATATAAACTGAATCTTTAATTGCATACGTTTCAAATTCCTGGTTTATGATCTTTTCATACATTTTTATCATGCCACAACTGAAACATTTGGAGGAAATTCTATCAACGGGTGATCATCCATGAACAGAGGATTTGGATGATGAAATCTACTATATCTTTACACCAATGGAGGATTGAACGCTATTTTGAAGTACTGTTTTGGCTTGGGAGAAGCTAACTTCGTGCCCACAAATGAGTTGCAGATGATGAACGAGTAACGTTCTATCAAAAGAGGATACTCAACTTCCAAGCATCAACCGTTTTTCTTGCCTCACAGGTTACATTAGTCACCTTGAACATGATTTCGTTTTCCGGAGGGCTTGGGTTTTTGAAACCGCTAGACGTTTAAAATTTTAAAATCGAAAAAAATAGGAAGGAATTGCCACCAATATTTTTAGGGTATGATTGGCTACCCAAATGTTTATCTTTTCAATAAAATTATAAAAATATGTTTAAAGTTTATCAAAAAGATAATTTTTTATCTATGAAAAAAAAATTGGGTTCAAAACTTGGTTATGTGTGGGGAAAGAATAGCACCCTCATAATGCCCATAAATTAGTATCAATTAATTATGCATAACATTGGGTGTTAGATGAAATGATTTCAATTTGAAATTTAATAATAATTTTTTTTTAAAAAAAAAAGAAAGCAATTTTATTAAAGTTTTTTATTTAGGAATATCAAAGAAATCTTTAAGTTAAAGAATTATTTTAAAATTTTTCAACATCTAGGTAAAATTTAAAATAACTCTTTTTCATCTAAGATTTATTATAACATTCATTAAAATGAAAATAACATTCTTTGTAGAAGATAATTGTTAGTGACTCTCTAACATCTAGGTAGGATACCAAGAATTATTTCATTTGGAATGTTATTTTTGTTTTATTTTATAATTTCACATTTTCAAACTACATTTTTAAAAAAATTATGTGAAAAAAAACTAATGATAATATAATTAGCTAGCAAACAATAATTAAATGTGCAAACATACGAAACAAGTATAAACAATAATGGATAGATGCATGTATGCCAATGGATGTTATGCAAGGTGATAAAATACAATTTTGAAGTTGGAATTAAATATAATGAGATCACCTTGACTCCTTAACATCTACGTAGAGTTTAGGTGTTACTATTTATATTTAAAATCTCATTTTTTATTTCATTTTATTCTATCCTATTATTATTATTATTATTATTATTATTATTATTATTATGGGTTAAGGACTTGTGTGAAAAACTTAACGAAATAAAATTTTCTAAATACTTCATCTTCTAAGTGGTATTCTGGAACAAATTACTTCACGTAAAATTTTCATACCTATCATTAGAATTTAGGGATGTTTTTTCCGTATGGGTTTAGGTCAAGGTTTTAGGGTTTGAATTTTTTGAATGATGATTCGAGGTTGTGAGTCAAATTTAATAATTGGGTTAAATTTAGGGCCTTGAAGGATTTTTGATATTTAGGGTCTCGTTTGAGGGTTTCGAGATTTTAGGATTTTGATTTTATGATTTTGAGGTTTCAGGATTTATAGTTTTAGGGTTTTGAGTTTTGAAGGTTAGGGTTCTGAAAAGTTTTAAGGGTTTTAGAGTTTGGAGGGTTTTAATGTTATAAGGGTTTAAGAGTTTGGATTTTAGGTTTTAAAGATTTTAGAGTTTTTAATTTTAGGGTTTAAAAGTTTTAGGGTTTTGAGATTTTTAAGGTTTTGATGGTTTTAGGGTTTAAAATTTTGGGGTTTAGAGTTTTAGGATTTCAAAAATTAGGGTTTTAGGTTCTGGAGTTTCGAGTTTTAAGTATTTAAGGCTTTGAGATTTAAAAAACAAATATCTCTAAAAATCTTCAACATTTAAGCAGACTTTCGAGATAAGTTTAATTTTTATGATTTCTAAAAATTAGTTAAAATTTTTTATATATTTCTTTTTCAATAAAGATTTATTATTATCATTATTTATAACTTATTTGTTTTTATTCTTATTATTTAATAATTCCTCAACATCTAGGTAGAATTGTTTAATATTAATTTTTTAAAAGATGATTTTTATTCCCTTTATCATCTAGGCATGGAAAAAATATTTTTTATTATTTTATTTTCATTATCAATTTTTATATATATTATTTTATTATTTTATTTATTTTTTGGATTATTTATTATTTTTATTTATTTTTTGGCTATTATTCTCCTTTGTTTTTCAAATTTAAAAATATCAAAAGTTTTAGAATCATTTTCATTGTCATTATTATTATTATTATTATTATTATTATCTTGTTATTTTTTTTTATTTTATAAGGTTTATTTTAATTTTTAATGAAATTTAAAATTAACAAAATTTAAAATTTTATTTTTCAGTATTTATTGATATTTTTTTATTATAAATCTTTTGTTTGTTATTTTTTTTTATCATTATTGTATTCATTTTAACATGTTTTAAATTATAAATTAAATTACCAAAAATATCACCAAAAATAAAAAATGGAATAAATAAATAAATAAACAAAAATTAAAAAATACCAAATTTTCTTCGGTCAACAAGTCAATATCGATCAACAATAGTAAACACTAGATGATTTAGTGGTGGTCCAAAACTAGTTCAGTTAGATTGGTCAGCAGGGAAACGGATCATGAGTTAAACGTGCGGACTGTGGATCAAATCTAGGCTTACATACAGATCTTTTCTAGCTTAAATTGACGTCGTTTGATTTTTTTTTAAACCACTATAAATATCAACCCCTTTTTTGTACTTCATTTCACTCTCCTTTAAAAAAATTTTTTTTCCTCTTCTCTTTGCAAAAGAAACTAGCAGCCTTTATAAACCTAAAATTTGATTACCAGCACCAATGCTGGTTGTTGATCACCACCGCCGACCAGTCCCCTTTGAAGCCCAAATTTTGCCCACAGCTAGACCTAGTGATTTTTATATTCATATAATGTAAAATACTAAAATTCGTGTATTCGTACCATATTTTATACGAAAGTTGCATATCATAATTCGTGTCAATATAAAAATATAAAATTTTTTATTTTGTTAAAACCATATATAATTATTGTAACAATTTTAAGCTGTGTTACCTTTGTATTTTATTTTTGTATTATAATTGTGTCATATTACCATATCATGTTTTAAATTGGTAAGTCTACCCTTTTCACCCTTTTTTTACGGATTCAGGCCATATTTTTCACAAATCAACCTTTAGAGTTCTAGATTTGAACTTGGAACCCAAAATTTCAAATTGTCATTTAGCCTTTGGCCACCGTTTGATAGGCCTGAAATTGCAGTATGCTAATCCTTTGTCTTTGATCTCTAGCTTCAATAGTTAGAATCATCCCAAAATCACTGCCATTCACGCCATGCCACATCACTATTCATAGGTGCATGCTACCTTTCACTGTCGCTCTTATCTTTGTATTTATTATTTATTAATTTTACTTTTATTTTTTATGAAATTGACTTTTTTTTTTTGTTTTTGTTTCAGTATCGCTCATTCTCTCAGTTATTGGTTTGGTACTTCTTTACCATTGTCAGCTCTTCCATTTTTTTTTTAATAAACAAATCTGACTTTGGTTTTTTTTTTGGCATGTTAACACTGGGTGCTAGGTTCCTCACCAATCCGATGAAGAATGTAGTTCGTTATGTTGTAGTTTTTTGTTTTATGATTTTTTTGCTTTGATGTTGGTGGTTTGTGGGTTTTGTTTTACTGATCGGGTTAAGGGCTGTAAGGTGTTGGTTTTTAATCAAAGGTTGAAGATAGTCCATAGAGGTGATGGTATAGGTGTGCATGTGAAGGCTAGGCTAGGTGAAGGTTAGGTTTTAGTATCTTGTTCTATAGGGGGCTGATGAAGGGCTGGCTTGGTATAAATGTTTGAGGTAGTGTTATTGGGCAAGGACCAGGCGGTTTGGGGAAGGCTGGTGCTTGGGTACTAAAACTTGGAGCTTTTTTTGGAACTAGCAAGAGTGTAGGCTGGTAAGGTTTTTAGTGTTTAAGAGGGGCTGATAAAAGGAGATGTTGAGACTGGGGCTAGAATGGTGAGGTATGGCTGTGAACAAGTAGTGGCAGGGTATAGTTGGGTAATTAATGCAGGTGAGTGGTGTTGTGCATGGCACCACTGTCCTTTTTTTTATTAATTAAATATTTTATTTAATATTATTTTATTTTAATAAAAATAAACTAAATCCAAAATCGATGCCTATTACAAAGAAATTGGATAAAATTTGGTGTCTACAGCTATTCTTCTTTATACATTGCTGAAAACCAATAGTAGGATAAAAACAAAGTCAACAATTTTGTCTAAAATTAAATTTTTTTTTTTTATTTTTTTATTTTTTAATTTTTTTGTAAAAAGCATGTGACATTGGAGATGATATGAATTAAGGTGGGTTGAAAAATATAAAGATCAAAATTGAATTGTGAGTTCAAAAATAAAGATGACCCAATTTGAATTATGAGTCAGGAATAAAATTGTCTGAGACTGAATCACAAGTTGAAAAATGAAAAAGATCGGGTTGAATCACGAGTTAGAGAATAAAGATGATCGAGACTAAACCACAAGTTAGGAGATGAAAATGATCGGGATTAAACTACAAGTTGTGAGATGAAAATAATCAAGACTAAGCCATAAGTCAAAAAATAAAAGACAACTAAGATTGAACTACAAGTTGAAGGATAACAATGACTAGGACTGAGTGACAAATTGAGAAATAAATGATGATCGGGATTGAACTGTAAGTCAAAAAATAGAGATGATTGGGACTAAACTACAAGTTAAAAAATAAAGATGACTGAGACTGAGCTACAAGTCAAAAAATAAAGATGATCGGTACTGAATGACAAATCAGAGAACAAATATGACTGTGATTGGATCGCAAGTCAAGAAGTAAAAATGATCGAGACTGAATTGCAAGTCAAAAAATAAAGATGATTGAGACTAAGCCACAAGTTGAGAAATAAAAATGATTGAGATTAAACCACGAGTTAGAGAATAAAGATGACCAAAACTGAACTATAAGTCATGAGATGA